TACCCCCCTTTTGGTCTGATGATGCCTATGAAATAAATTACAGCTGAGTCATGCTTTGTCACTTTTGCACATCTTTGAAGTAATATTGATCCGGAACTACACCGTTCTATCCATTACAGCCAAGGAAGGTGACAACTTAGCCTCCATTTGGATTGCAGTTGCCATGCTGCTGTACATGTGATCAGCTATGCTACAAGCCATTTTAGGGCTTGAAAGTTCGGCTAAGAGCTGAAATAAGCACACTGGCAACCTAAACAGTTGGCATGCCTTGAAAGTAACTGTTTTGGGAGGCCATTAAATTGGTGGGTCTAGTTGCATTTTAACAATCGAAGTAAGTAATTCAGTTTTATGTAATTTTAAAATACCTTTTTTTTTTCTTTTACGAGTCATTATTTTAGTTTTTGGTTGTTTTAAAAAAAATATTTTTGGTTGTTTACTCACGGTTCTGGCATGATTGATATCTGTATTTTACGGAACCTGTGCAGAAAGAAAATGAGAAACATGGTCAGCTAAAACCCTATTGTTATACATTGGAGACAACTGACAAGCCTGACATGTTGAGAAACTCTCTGATATGTGTTTCAGCAAACAGTAAGACCATCTAGGTGTACAAAAATAAAGAAACATTTCAGGGAGTCCACTCAGACATTATTTCTGTCTACCTCTATGGAAAAAAAAGTCACACAGCTCAGAGAAGTGGAGGAGAAATCAGTAATGTAGTATATTAAGCCACCACCAAGGACCTATCAGTTTTGAGGCATTGAGAAAGAATGGTGATCATTATATAATGATCAAGGCCGAATGTTTCTATAGCTTTGATTTCTTTTTCAATGCAATACAGCAATTTTTAAAGCAAGGCACGGATGTCCCACCTTTTCCTTTTTGCTGAATATAACAATGGTAATATTCAGTGTGTGTAAGTATATACTGTATGTGTGTGTGTGTGTATATATAGATATAGATAGATATAGATCTATATATACTATATGTACACATCATAATATTAGTTGAGAACCAAATATTAATAAGTAATAAAAAGAACAAACATTAAAAACCATTCATTTTCATCAGTCTTCCAATATATCCATATAAACACTTCCAGTGAAATAATCAATTTTGTGATATTCTCTACAAAGGATATGCTCACAATGATTAGTGATTAACACCGCTCTCCACTGTGTGTTCCACCACTCTTCTGACCTGCGGTGGAGCACCTAACAAACAATGGTCAAAAGCAATTTGTAAAGTGAAGTCTTGTTTCTGCACTGTACTCTCCGGTCTCCTAGGATCACAATGTTATATTCCCGAATGCTTCAGTGGTGGAATAATTCCACCTGTAATCCCCAAACTTCTTTGAATCCCCCTGTGGATGTCAAAAGGCCCATGCGGCTATCGAACAACCGACTGTACGATCCTCAGGGATCCTCTACTGCTTTATTTTTACAGAGGATCCTCTACCAGTTACTTTTACAGACCACCAAACAAGAGAAAGTAGAGATGATTTTGTTGGAACTTCTTGCACAGCCTCACAGAGAAACACAAGCACACACTCTGATATACATGCTGCACATGAGTTGAAAACAGGAAGGAAGCCACAGCTTTATTCTCTGCTTTTTTCAATACAACAGAGAATATACCATAGATACTGTATAACAGAACTTATAAACACTGCCATCTAGTGACCAAAATTGTATACTGCAGAAGTTGTTGCTATAAACACAGTAATGTGTATTCTAACAGATTTAATATTTTGTGACCTGTGAAAGAGCCTTGTGATGCATTTCACTATTTCCTGCGCCCCTGCTCCCAACAGGTCTCTTGTTGAATTTAGCCACAAATGCCCAGAGTTGGCCATAGAAAGGGAAATTAAATATGGAAACAGCAACACATTTTGTACATTTTTGAGTTTGGTGCTACCCCCTCTGCTACCCATTGGCCCACTAGTAACATTAAGGTAAATACAGCCCTGAAAGTAGCACTTTTATTGTACTTTCCACATTTATTTTTGTACATACGCAGGTGAAGGATTAGAAGAACCATTGACATAGTGATATCCCAGTAAGGTGAAGATTCTCCCTTTTCTATAATACTGTTGAGGGTGCTTCCAATGATCACATTTTATTCAAGTGGTTTTTAAATTTTTGCTTCTTCAAGTACCCCTCAGTAATGCTATAACAATGTCACTCTTGCTGGAAAGCTTAGTCTACATGTAAATGTAAAGACATTAAAAAAAATATAAAGACTTGTATATATAACGAATACTATTATTACATATATTAATGCATACTGAATACTGTAAATAGCATGACAGTGATCCTTTAACCCATACGCTACCCAGGTATCGCCAGCAATGAATTGATAGTATAGATGAGAAGCACCAATCAGATTAAGGTTCATAAAGTAAGCCTGTTGCAAACCTGAGCAATTCAAACTGACCATATTTAGCATAGGCATAGGTTGGCTTAGCACCTCTTAAGCCTCCCTTGGTGCCTTCAGTGCATTCTTACAGAGCATTAGAGGGGCTTGAGGGTGGGCAGGGGTGAGGACCTCATAGCCTTAAGAGCAAAAGTCCAAAGGTGCATATGAATTCAACTGCCTATATTGATGGATCTAATGATCCCCTTGACATGCAGTTTTTAACTAAAGCCAGCTTTTTTCATTATACGGTCAGTTTGTTGTAAGTTACACATGAAACAAATGATCTGATATTCCATCTGACAACAGTTTCACTGCCCCATAACAAAGGGCAGGGGAAATTACAGGTGCCCAGATGTGCCCAAATTTCTCAATTTACAGCTTAAATTATCTAAAATTGTTAAGAACTGACATTTAAAACATTATTATGCTTAAAAGTAGGGATTTTCTAAAACAATACAGACTAATGATTTTAGGACAGTTGTGTAGAGCCAGGGCCTGTGACCACTGGGACCCTGGTAGCTCTGCCACGGACTCCAAGCTGTAGAGGACTACACATCCCACCAATACATTATACAGCAATGCATAATAAAATGCCAGGGGGCTAGGGCACAGTCAGACATTAAACAGCTCTGACGAAGTAAATATCTGATGAAGTATAAAAAAAGTATTGGGGCACTTTTAAAAGCTGCTTACTTTTCATGATTTCATCATAATTTCATCCCTCATCTTATCTCCACTCTTCTCTGCTCTTCCACAGATCAATGCCGTTATCAAGCTGTGTAACCCTTTCCTTGCTGTGTATGATTGAAGCTGCCATACTGCTAATATTCATGCCTGGTAAATGTTGTTAACAGGATCTTTGTATACATAGACAAACTTTACCTTTCTTTTGCCTTGCATAATCAAAAAGGTTTTCCTATCTTTATAACTCTAACCTGCAGTCCTGAAAAGGAAGGAAGGTAGCATGCATGTGTCTTTTATCAACTCCCATTAGATTAATTGGCTATCACTCCTCACCCTATCTCAGTATTTTAGATGCTCTTATGCGGGACGGCACAGCCAGGGGGTTGGAGCACAGTCTGACATTAAACAGCAATGACAAAGTAAATATCTGATGAAGTAAATCTCTGGTATGTGCTGGTATCGGTGCTTAGTATCAGGGTATTTTAACAAGTACGAGTATCTGTATCAGTGCATCCCTACTTAAAAGATCATTCTGCCTTTTACCAAAAATAAATAATGCACACTTCTTTTTTTTTGCATAAGAGGTGTACTACTCAGGCTTCTAAACACTGTTCCTCGCGTTCATGTCCTTACTGAGGTGCAGACATTCAGTAACAGGGATGTGAGGAGGTGTCCGTGAACTACAAGTGGTCCTGCAATTCAGGTAGTGGGGGGCAGGTGAGGGTGGGTCTGTGATCTAAACATGTTTCATTTTACACTCTAAATATAGGTGTAACATGAAACATGGTCAGAAACATGCACTTAGCCTTTAAAGCCCATCTCCAGGCAAACAAAAAATATACCCATGCAGGAAGGCTACCCTTGTACTTAACCCTTGTAAGGTTAAGTGATCATTTTTGTCTAGGGGACTGGAGTAAAGGAGGTGTACTTACCTGATCCCTGTTTCTCCTGGCTCCTTTAGGGCTGCTAGAACTGTCCCTGCAGCCTGTTCTCCCTTGAGCTTCGGCAGTCTAAGGACCACTCATGGCATCACGTGTAATGCAGGTTCCATCGACCTGCATTAGATGTGAGGATGCCAGCCAAGGGAGATTCCATTGCTGGAGAAGAGGAGAGTGTTGACTGGCGGGGACAAAAACAAGCATTTAACTCCCTGCAGTGCATGTGTAGCTCCATTGCAAGGGTACTTTTTATGCCCAGAGATGGGATTTAAATTTTTGGGCTGACAGTATACTTATACTGAATAATCATATGCATCACATGCATATGTAGTGTTGAGCTTGAACATGAAGATAATCTTATAGTTTAAGATATACTTTTTATAGGGATGCACCGATACTAGTAATCGATATCGGTGCCGATGCCCATTATTTGGGCGAGTACTAGTATTCGCCCAAATGCTCCGATGCCTAGCCCAATACTTCCGGTACCAGGAAGCCGGGCAGCGTGTCATTACATGCTGCCCAGCTTCCTGATGGGCTGGGAAGCCGGTTCCATGCTTGTGATGAGAGAGCATGGAGCTGGCTTCCCGGCCAATCAGAAAGCCGGGCAGCATGTAATGACTCGCTGCCCGGCTTCCTGATTGGTCGGGAAGCTGGCCAAAAGACATGGCGCTCGACTTTCTAATTGGCCGGGAAGCCGGGTTCATGTTCCCTCGTCACCTCATGACGAGGGAGCATGGAGCCGGCTTCCCGGGCCAATCATGAAGCAGCATCATTACATGGCGCCTGGCTTCCTGATTGGCCAGAAAGCCGGCTCCATGCTTTCTTGTCACCTAGTAGGGACGGCTTCCCTGCAAATCGGGAAGCCAGGTGGTGACTCTTTACACACCGCCCGGCTTCCCGGCTACTCAGGAAGCCAGGTGGTGAGTTATTACACGCCGCCTGGCTTCCTGAATTGGACTTCTGGTATTCGGTATCGCTGAGTACCGAAACAAAATATTGGTACTCGTGCTTGATAGCGAAATACCAGTATGGGTGCATCCCTACTTTTTTATAATACTATATACCAGGACTCAAAATTTCAAGTCCTGAGCTACTAGCCAGGCCATAAGAGTTGCTTGCCACCAGTTGCCCTCCTAACCCCTACCCTGCCCTGGCCTTAACTCCGCCATTTGAGCGGTGTGACGCAAATTACAGAGATCAGTAACAACACAGTGCAGAGGCCAGCGATGTGACGCAGAGTACAGAGATCAGTAACAACACAGAGTGCAGAGGTCAGTGGTGTAATGCCGGCCAGCAGTGGCAGTGTGCAGAGGCCATCAGTGTGACGCAGAGTACATAGATCAGCAACAACACAGAGTTTAGAAGTCAGTGGTGTACGGCCGAGTACAGAGGCCAGCGGTGTGACGCAGAGTACAGAGGTCAGCGGTACAGAGGTCAGTAATGTAACAGACAGTACAGATGTCAGCAGTACAGAGGTCAGTAATGTAACTCCCAGTACAGAGGTCAGTAATGTAACGCACAATACAGAGGTCAGCAGTACAGAGGTCAGTAATGCAACACACAGTACAGAGGTCAGCAGTACAGAGGTCAGTAATGTTACAGACAGCACAGAGGTCAGCAGCACAGAGGTCAGTAATGTAACGCACAGTACAGAAGTCAGCAGTATGAAGCACAGTACAGAGGTCAGTAATCTAACGCAGAGTGCAGAGGTCAGCAGTTTAAGGCAGAAACAACAGGGACCACAGTGCACAAAACTGATCTAATTTAGGTGCCCTCTTCCTCCACTTGTTCAGGTGGCGGGG